AGAGGACCAGAGTTCAATTCCCAGCACTGACATGATGGCTAGCAACCACCTGTAACTCCAGCTCCAAGGGATCTAACACCCTCTTCTATCTCTGAGGGCACTGCACATACATGATGCACAGACATACATGCAGTCAAAACACATAAAATAAAAATAAATCTCAAAAAAGAAAATTTTAAAAAGAAAGAAAACACGTATCATTGTGTGGGAATGGAAAAAGTATAGGGTAGATAAGCGTGATTATAAATAGGTACAAGGAAACTTACACAAACAAAACATGAATGTGGCTTTGTCCCCTCCCCCTGGTCTCCCTGTCTTGTTATATTGTTCCATTTAACTCCTGAGTAGTAGTTATCTGTGGTGGTATTGTGTTCCCCAAAATATTGTGTACCCTAATAAACTTATCTGGGGTCAGAGAACAGAAAAGCCACTAGATACTTACTTAGGCTAGAAAATGGTGGCACTCACGCCTTTAATCCTAGCATTCCAGAGGCAGAAATCCCTCTGGATCTCTGTGAGTTCAAGGCCACATTGGAAACAGCTAGGCATGTGACACATGCCTTTAATCCCAGAAAGTGAGCCTTTAATCCCAGGGAGTGATGGCAGAAGGCAGAAAGATATATAAGGCGTGAAGACTAGAAACTAGCAGCATTTGGCTGGTTAAGCTTTCAGGCTCTAAGTAGCAGTTCAGCTGAGAGCCATTCTGGATGAGGACTGAGAGGCTTCCAATCTGAGGAAACAGAATCAGCTGAGGAACTGGTGAGGCGAGGCTTGTTCTGCTTCTCTGATCTTCCAGCATTCACCCCAATAACTGGCCTCATGTTTGATTTTATTAATAAGTACCTTTAAGGTTCATGCTACAGTTTTCCTCTTGCTTCAGCTTTTTCAAGCAGTTAGGACTAAAAGCATATACAGCTGGGCCTAGGTTTTTGATCACTCTTAATCTTGGTGATGGCTTCAAATTGTTTCACATACTAAATACGTGCAAGACATTGTATATCAAATCTTTCTCAATAAAGAAGTGTTTCAAAGGTCTTTAATGGAAGTTAAATTCTGTTTTCTAATTGTCCGCTGCATTAATAAACACAAGCTTTACACAATTGTATTCAAAATACACCATCAACATTTTAACCTAAATTTTTCCACTTTCTGTTCCTTTCTCCTATCTAAGTCTCCAAACAATCAAGCCAACACGTACTAGTAATCTCTCCAGCAATTCTAATTGAACTTTTCTAAAGATTCAGTTCGGGGCACTAATGTAATCAACATAATCACATCAGTGTTATAATGTACCTGGCATACTAGCATGAAAATGAGTGGTGATCCTGTCATTCCCATGCAGATATTGCTAATAAATCACTGTGCTCTCTTCTCTGGATAAAGGATCCCAGTTCTAACAGACTCAAGTTAGGCCCACCTCTACCATTATAGAAGTGTAGTGGAAGCTACTGAGTAACACTTGGTTTTCACCCTCACCTGCCTCTCTCTCTGCCATTCTGTTGCCTTGCTCCAAATCAAAGAAAATGAGTATTACATTTCTGCCCTGGAATTTAAATAATGGCTTCCTCTAAGAGCCAATTTAGAACTCATACATTCCAGGAAGTCTCCTATTGACTAAACTCAGGTTGTAATAAGCCTGACTTTTTCTAAATCCCTTCAACAGTCTTCTATGCTAGACATTACCACACTCATCATCTGCTGCCAGGATTATCCTTGGAATATCTCTCTTCTCACCTGAAAAATGGTTGTGCCAATATCTATATTGAAGAGTTGTCATAAGGACTTGGAGTGATGTACAGTTGTCACTGAGATGTATGTTCCAAGAACAAAGATTTGCTTAATTTATATAACTCAAGCATTCAGAATAGTGCTGGCATGCAGTAAATGGTCAATAAATATCTATTAAATAAAAGAATATGTAAAAAGCCCTTCACATACAGAACATACACAAAAAGGGAATTCAATCCATATACACAGTCCGTGTTCTTTCCGTAAGAACTGAATTCATGAAGTCACCTTAGATGTTCTTTCTGTCAGTTACAATCATAATTTCCAAGGTCGGAAGTCAAGGACAGAACCAAACCAAAGGGAAGCAAAGGATACATGATCTTAGCACTCCAAAGAGAAAAACAAAACCAAACAAAGCTTTAGTAATTTCGAGTAAAAGTGTTTGATGCAATATATATAAAACACACACACACACACACACACACACACACACACACACACACAATTAATGCAAGGAATCTTTGAAGAACTTATGTCTTAGTTACTTTTCAATTCCTCTGCAGAGACACCATGACTGAGACAATTTATAGAAGAAATTATTACTGGGGCTTACACTTCCAGAGGATTAGTTCATGACCATCAGAGTAGGAACATGGCAGAAGACAGGCATTGCTGTGGGATGGTCTTTCTGTGCGCTGTGAATATGTGTTGCTACTATTAGTTAATAAAAAAGCTATTTTGGCCTATGGATATAACATATCCACAGGATATAACCAGGCAGGTAGTCCAAGAGAGACACAGGGAGAAGAGAAGCCGGGTCAGAGGAGACACTGCGAGCTGCTGAGGAGCAAGATGTAATAGTACACAAGTAAAGCCACGAGACACATGGCTATACGTAGATTAATAGAAATGTGTTAATTCAAGATGTTAGAGCCAGCTAGCTATAAGTCTGAGCCATAGACCAAACAGTTTGTAACGGATATTAAGTCTCTGCGTGATTATTTTATAAAAATAGCTTCTCTCTGGGTGGGACCAGGTGGGTCCGAGAAGCTTCAGTCTACAAGGCATGGTCTTAGAGCAGTATCTGAGAGCTCACATCTTGATCCACACAAGCACAAGGCAGAGAAAAACACTAAGAATGGTGTGAACTTTTGAAACCTCAAAGTCTACCCCCAACTGATATATCTCCTCCAACAAGGGCACACCTCCGAATCCTTCCCAAATAGTTCTACCAACTAGAGACCAAGCATTCGAATATATAAGCTTATGAGGGTCATTTTCATTCAAACCATAACAAGTGAGTTTTATATGAAGGTAAGATCAGTACCAGAGCCATGCTGAGACTCAAAGACATCCTAGGAAAAAAGAAAAGGAAAAATTCTCATATATCTTTACTTAAAATATTGTGTTTTAGTTTTTAAATTTTATATATGTTTTGTTTGTTTGTTTGTTTTCCTGCATGTCTATGCACCACGTGAGTGCCTGTTGCTCACAGAAGCCAGAAGAGGGCATTAGCTCCCCTGGAACTGGAATTATGGAATGTTGTGAAGAGCCATACAAGTGATAGAAATTAAGCCAGGGTCTTCTGGTAGAGCAGTCAGTACTCCAAACTGCTAAGCCATCTCTCCAGCCTCTTAAAATAATTTCAAAAACATTATCTTAAAGAGTTAAAATGATTACTGATAGTGCTCTTAAGTTGTATGCTTCTCCTACTTTATCCCAATTCGCCATTTGTAAAAAACCTAAAACTGTCTTAGAAGTGTCCTATTTAAACTCTCCACCAAATGCAATAGTCTACTCTGCTTAAGCTCAATGTTGCCAGTCTGTTTCCAACGTGAGAAAAGCTCACTGCTTTTGGAGGTGAGCCCCAGGATGAAGTTGGCTTATGTCTGAAGAACGACAGTGTAGATGAGGTCCCTCAGCTCGGTGAGGTGGTGATGTGAGGAGATTTATGTCTCCCAGTTCAGTCTCCCTCCTGATACAGCCTCTAGGCAATTGGGACCAGGTACACAGTTTTTGCCCCCTGCATTCCTTCTTGTGAGTGATATACCACACCTGTCTCAATCTCACACATGCACACACTTGGCTTATGTCATGTGAATGAATAAATAAATATCGTGACAATGTGGCTCTCTTAGGAATGCAACATTGCCTACCACAACTTGGCTCTCTACCCAGAACCCTGCAAGCTGAGGGAGGGTTCCGCCTATAGTTAGGACCTCAGCTCTCACAAATCACTATCAATGTCTTCAGGCCACAAAGACCCAAGAGACTGCGGCACCCAGGCTGCGCATCCCATTTGCTGCCCTTAAGAAATCACATCATGTTGCTTCTTCTTAAAACTTCACAGTTTTATCCTGAGACGATGTAGCACCATTTCTGCCAGGAAGCACATGCAGAAACATGGTTCTGTTTTGTTTCTGGACATACTGTATTTGATAAAATTAGAAGGAAGTCGTCATACCAGCATTCTCACAGGAGGAGGAGGGGATTTTCAACCAGCTATGAGATGCCCCATAAAGAAGACATAAGGAAACATTTTTGCTGGTTCCAAATCCCACTTGCAACACTGATCCAGCACCAGAATGGAAAGAGCTGGATGCCAAGTGTTACTGAGCACAATTAATCCTGTATGAAAACTTGGCCACAAGGGACAATGAAGTCTCCCTGGTCTAAGAGTTTTTCAGTAAGGACAGATAGATGCCCTCTGCAAGCTCTCTAAAATCCACTGTATTCTGGAAGTCCACAAAACACAAGACACACTTGGCACTGGACCTCCCATGGCTGTAATGGAAAACTAGGTCAATGTGAATAGCTTTAAGGGGAACAGTCTTGAAGTACTGCCCAGCCCGACTACTGTATGAGTCCTGTAATCAGAGTACCAGATTCTACGAGGTCAATGTAGGTGTTTTTGAGATAAGGTAACAGAAACTTAACAAAACCCAGTGTCACAATGGCACTGAGGTCATGAAGACATTGGTTGGGACCCTCCAGCAAAGTTCCTGCCAAGGTATTACAGCACCTTCTGTCACTCAGTGGTTGGACCACTGAGCCCAAGACAGACACATGTGTGAACTCTGTACAGCTTCCCTCTATGATGAGCAGGACAGATCTCTCTACCTGCTATCAGATGCCATCTCACCAAACTTGCTGCTGAGATGCAAAAAGGATCTGACAGTCAAAACACTCAGTTCTAGAGCCTCAGAAATTAAAGCCAGTGAGAAAGGTGAATGGAGCATGATTCAATGAGACCTCACTAAAAAAGAAAACAACACCATGTTTCCAAGAGCTTTGGCTGGGGTATGGTCATGGGATCTCCAACTACATCACCGAGTAACATGGAGACACTCTGACAGCTCAGGTCAGCACAGTGCCTGCAGCTGCTACTCATCTCAGAGAGGGGAGGGGAGGATGGAAACAGGCTAGACATATAGTCCAACAACTGGTGAACAGATAGTGACGGTGTGGTACACTCATACAATGGAATAATATTCAATTTAGGGAAAATGAAATTCACAGGTTAATGGATTGTGAACTGGAAACCATCATCTTGAGTGAGAAAACTCAGATGGAGAAAGACAAACCACATGTTTTCTCTGAAATAGGAACTTTGTGTGTTTCACTTGGAATGCCCACACAGGTTAGGACACCAGGAAAAGGCCATGTAGGAGCGGGACTTTTTCACACAAGGGGAGACAGAATATAAGGGTAGAAAGAAGGAAAAGAGAAAAACAGAATAGGAGAGGTTAAGGGGATGGGGGATAGGAGGGAATACCGAGAGCCAATAACTAACTAAATTCCTTTTGGAAAAGACACACACACACACACACACACACACACACACACACACACACACACACTTAACCTATAACCACACGTTACCAAATAAAAACCCCAATGCAGGAATGGGTTACTTCTTTGTGAAGTTGTTGGCCAACAGGGTCACATAGACCTACAAATATTACAGGTTATATCATTGATTTTGGTTACCTTCCAAAAGTAAGATCCTACTGCTGAAGACACCATACCCTTGATTCATAAAACATGGAGGTCAACACCATGGCTGCCCAAACCAAGCCTGAACAATTCCAACTCCAGCTGACATCCCAACATAGACAGGAAAAATCGCTTGGGGATCCACTCCTATATAAAGAACTACAGGCAATTAATGACTGTGGAGAGAGGAAGAATTTTCTTTCTTGGGGATGAGGCCCCTAATTAGTCATCTAATACCAGTGGTCAGCCCTAGAAACATATGCATACAAGTAATACAAAACCGACTCAGCAGGTTGCATTTATGTATATATTTGAATATATATCTGTGCTGGATAGTTTTATGTCAAACTGACAAAAGCTAAAGTCATCTGAGAGGAGGGAGCCTCAATAAAGATAATGCCTTAGTAAGATACGGCTGTAGGCAAGCCTGCAGGGCACTTTCTTAATTAGTGATTGATGAGGGAAGGCTCAGCCCACTGTGAGTAGTGCCACTCCGTGGGCTCCTAGTCCTGGGTTCTATAAGAAAGCAGGATGAACAGGCCATGATGAGCAGCATCCCTCCATGACCTCTGAATCTGCTCCTGCCTCCAGGTTCTGGCCATGTTTGAGTTCCTGTCCTGACTTCCCTCAGTAATGACTACGATGTGGAAGTGTAAGCCAAATAAAGCCTTTTTTCCCCAAGTTACTTTGGTCATAGTATTTCATCACAGCAAGAGTAACCCTAACTAAGACAATATCAATAATAATTAAAGGAAAAGAGGCCATGAATTTGAGAGGAAGTGGGAATGGGGATGCATGAAAGCAATGAGGCAGGGGAAATGACGCAATATTTTCATTAAAAATTTAACAAAAGAACATCAACAACAACAAAAATCCATATTGAAAACAGCTAGCTGGCTTTCAGTCCTGGAAGGTGCTAGGCATGCTGTTTCCTTGTAATGATCCATCACTTCTAAAGAAATGTAATCATCAGTCTCACCCAGCTGTGCACCCTGTGAGCTACAGTAACAACCTAACTGGCAAGATGTGCCCAACGGTGTAATAGTGTCACACATATTACGGAGATAACCAACCACTTTCTTTCTTTTTTTTTTTTTTTTTTTTTTTTTTTTTGGTTTTTTCGAGACAGGGTTTCTCTGTGTAGCTTTGCGCCTTTTCCTGGAACTCACTTGGTAGCCCAGGCTGGCCTCGAACTCACAGAGATCCGCCTGGCTCTGCCTCCCGAGTGCTGGGATTAAAGGCGTGCGCCACCACCGCCCGGCCCAACCACTTTCTTAATTGGATTTAAGGCCCACTCCATATGCCTGGCTCTGTTAATGAGGCCAAGAACCTGTGGCAAGATAGGTCAGAGGTCCTAGTAGAAAACCTACCAGCACTAAAACAACTCCTAACGACATACTGCTGTACCCAAGATCAGTGTACCTCTCAATCCTCACCAGAGATTCTTCCTGCCCTAGAAAGCAATTAACAGAGACTACAACTAGTCAGTGTGTAGAGAACAAGAAACTTCAGAGTGCTCCGCCCTAAATGGGACATCTATGTCACACCCTTCCCTACAAGGATCAAAGATCTTAGTGGAAGGGGTAGAGAAAGACTCTGAGGGTCAGAGATGGTGGCTTATTCCAAGGAAACAGTGTTTTGTTAGCTTTGTTTTGTTTGGGTATACAGCAGGGCAGATGCACCACTTATGACTATCAACCGCAAGTGGCGCAAGCCTGTAATTCCTGCACTCAGGAGGTTAGACGGGAACTCTCTGAGTTTGGGGTCAGTCCGGTCTACATGGAAAGTTCCAGACCAGGAAAAGCTACACAGTTGCAACTGATAACTATTCTCAGATATTCTTTCCAGAATATATACTAGACTTAATTTGGGACTCGACTATAGAAAGTACTTGTATCCCTTTCCCCCGCAACTAGCGTTTGCTCCCGGTTAGATGTTCAGCATTCTCTCGGGTTCTCTCCTACCTCAAGAGCGTTGTCAGCTAACAGCACCAGAAGAGAGGCAGTGACTCAAACACCAGAGCTGCCTCCAAGCTGAAGTTCAACTTTGGGGAAATAAAAAAGACTCCTAATGAGCTCGGTCTCCCTACCACAGGTCACATTTCTTGTGTAAGTCAAGCAGGTGAAGAATCATTACAGCTACACTAAATGCTGTATTGTGCCCACCTAGAAAGAAAGATCTTTCTACCAAAGAACAAATAACAAATCGAACTGAGACCACACCGCACAAAACATGGAGTCAAGCACCTCAGAATCCTACAGAGGGACAAGAGACCCCTATAACATCACTAATTTTCTTTCCACCTTTTTCTCTTACAAAGCATACAAGGATTTCTAAATATGAATGCGTACATTTCAATGTTGCCTAGATATCTTCTACATACTTAATGCTTTACAATCTCCCCCAACTCAGTAGATTAAAACTATTCCACCCTTCTTTACTGTAGAAGGCAAAAATCATGCCAGCCTTCCTTTCTTCTACACAGTCCATCCAACTTTACCGTGAGACCACACCCAGATCTGCTGGCTTCCTCCCCTTCCGACAGCTGTATGAACCTGCACGCTAGCCTTCTTCACCTAAGCTTGCCTTTCTACAGGCTGCCGGTCAGAGTCTCCTGAGTTGTCCTCTGAGGTGCCAAGTCACAAGGGAGTCTCTCAACACAAGGACTCAGCATCTTGCCAGGGACTGTGGCTAGAGGGTCAGGTATGTTCCTTAAGGCTTACAGAACTGCACATCAGTGATCCAGAATTCTACTGCATAGATCACTTTTCTCAGAAAACTAAGCTGGATTACAGAAGATCTGTACTCAAAATCCTGTGTTTAAAAAAAAAAAAAGCTAAGTTCCCACCTGATAACATTCCCTATTACCTCTTCAACATCTTCAGATACTTCCTTCCCCTTTGCCCCACTGTGCCCCAGCCCCACTGCCCTCCCTTATTGATCATCAAACAAGTCAGGCATACTTCCGCCTCTTGGACATTGACTGACTTTTCATTCAACTGGGAACAAGCCACCAACACCCTGATTTCCAGAAGGAAAACAAACTCGCTCCAATTCATCTGGATCACCTTCCTGGTTGAAAACTCCCACTCACTCCCACCTACACCCTCAGCACCTTATTTTGTTGCACTCTGCCTTTTCCTCCCACTTTTTTTGTTTATCAGTTTCAAACTCAAAGAGAACAACAGTCTTTCTCTCATGCTTCTATTTGCTGAGAACATCAGAAAGTACCTAGAAGATGGCGGTTGTTGAGGTAGTCACTGAATTCATGAAGGTGCACAATGAGTACCTCAGTACACAAACACAGCCTTCACCCCTGTGGATACAGATTACAGGGATGATTGCTAAATAAGTGGTTTGCCCTCTATAACTTCCAAGTTCTCTGTAGGTTGGCCATTCATTGCAATTGAGTGTCTTAAACATACAAGAGGCCCTAGTAGACTATCTGCCCCTTCAGTCAAGCTTAGCAGGAGTTAGTGTGGCTTTTCTACTACTTTACCTCTAACCCTAGAAGGTGCACCCCACACAGCTCCATACGCAATAACAGACTGTTCAGGAACAGAGCACACGCTCTGTGGACAAGGAATCATTTATGAGCCTACATAGCAGATTTAAGGATGGGAGGAGGGAACAGCAGGTGTAGAGAAGAGGCTCAGGCCTGGGTTAGTTCTTCTCCGAATGGCCAGGCCCAATCACAGTGGGCAACAATACACAGAAACCTCCTTCAGTGCTCTTGGGAACTGAGTGGAGTGGGTGTCTGTAAGCACCCCACAAAAGCACTCACTGCAGGTGAGAGCCCTTGGAACTGCTATTAGGCACGTAACATCAAAAAACAGGCTCTGGGGGTTGATGGAGGAGAATGCCAGAGCATTCTGAGCATGAAATCCAGGTCAAATACAACTTCTGTAGAGAGCAAGCTTTTCCAAGGAAATTGCTGGGCTTTCCCTTTGCATTCTGACCTTGTTACCTCATTTCTCCCACTTGAACCTCATACCAAGGCCATCACGAGCACAGATATCCATGGCAAGCACACAGTTGTTACCAATCCCAAGCCCCTCTATGGTCAGTATTCAAATGGTGGCTTCAAGGGATGCAAGTTTTTCCAAAGAAGAACACACTTCAATCAGCAAGTGAACACCGACCGGCATAGGCTATGACTTTGACTTCTTGAATTTTTGAAATTATGAGTGCAAATGTCACACAAGTATTATACCTTTCTCTCATAGAGATATAATATGGACCCATACATAATTTTACAACACAAAGATAATACTAAAAATAATTCAAGAGGGTGGATGGCTCCATGGTTAAGAGTGTATACAGCTCTTGCAGAGGACTTGGGTTGGGTTCCCAGCACCGACATTCACAACTGACTGTAATTCCAGCTCTGCACTCACAGGCACATA